CACCCCGCCCCACCCGCCGCATTTCGCCGTCATCGAATATGCGGTCTAATAGCGCGGGGGCAATCTGCACGAGTGTCGAAGCATGTTCTTTTTAGCGGCCGGTCGGGCCGGCCGGGGCGGCGGACCGCGCCAACTGGGGGCAGTGGCAGCCGTCACTGCAAGTATGTAGGGCCCCTCTCTCCTCCTCCTCCCCTCGCCCTCCTTCCCCGCCTGATAGCGCAGCGCAGCGGCCTGCTGGCCGGTCCTGCCCGGGACATGGGCCCCTCCTGGACACGACAGGACACATTCCCGTGGGCGGCCCTCTCATAGCCCCGTCAGGAGGAGTTCGAGAGAGATAGAGGACGCGGGGGAAGGGGGAGAGGGGGGTAAAATAGTACACCACTTGGGTTCTGTTTCCGAACACTGCGACCCCCCCCCCCCCCCCCCGTCCTCTCTCTCTCACACACACACACATACATGCGCGTGGGCGCCGCCGACTGGACTAAAGAGGTGGGGGTCCTGGACTAGTTGGACACTCACTCATCGTAGTATTATGGCGACGTGCTGGTAGTGGGTGGCTCCGTGCGGCGGGGCGGGGCGCTCGGGCCAGGCACATGGCAGCAATTGGAGTAGCGGTAGTCGCGTGTATAAATTGAATACATTCAGATTTATGACGTTGTACTCCTTTTTTTTCTCTCTCCCCTTCTTCTTCCTATGCCTCCGCGCGGTAGTCTTCTTCTGCTCGAGGACCGAGTGAGAAGATGAGGAAGAGAGGGGGAGGAGGAGAAAGGAGGGTGGGGGGGGAGTGGAACGGGATAAAAAATAAGAGGGGGGCGTGGCTGCTTGCGCCCGGCGGCCCGGCGTCTCAGGTGTGTGCATGCATGTGTGTGAGTGAGTGCGTGCGTGTGCGCGCGCGCCAGGTGCTCGTGTGTGAGTGTGCCGTACGCACACAACCCGTCGTCGTCGGCACGATGCACTTCGTGCCTAGGCCGTCGACCGATTTTATAGCTCAGGAGAAAAACAAGAAAATAAAAGAGATACAAAAAGAGTGGTGGTGGGAGAGTGATGGGAGGAGAAGGGTTAGGAGGGGGGACGAGGGCGGAGTAGGAGAAGAACAAGAAGAAGGTAGTCATGCTGGGCGGCACTGACCCGGCGACCCATTCAGGGAGGGAAGGCCAGGCGTGGCGGGCTGACCTGGCCCGCGCGGGTAGGGTCAATTGAAGGGCAATAACCCGTCGAGGCGGAGCATGTGCATGAGCCGGTGTGGCGCGCCGGGCCATGGGAGCCGGGAGGGACTAGGGGAGCCTTTGTCTGGAATGAGTTGAGACTTTCACGAGAGAGGACATACCTGGCCAAGTTTGCTTGTAGCCTAGTGGCCTGGGGGCCTGGGGGCCTGAGAGCACGCGGCCGCTCCCTCCCGTCCTCGACCGCCTGCCCCTCTCTCTCTCTAGGACCCTCCGGACGCCCATGTTAGCCGGCCGTCTTCCCCTCGGGTGGCCGCTGTCTTTCCGGGCGACTCTTTTGCGCAAATATTTGACGGTTTGCGCGCCAAACTGCCCTGATCAAAGGAAGGCCGGGCGCCTCCGAGCCTGTCGGCCGGCCCCATGGCGCGGCCCACGGCGGCCGGCCGGCTGATCCCGCCCCCCAAAAGAGCGAGCGAGTTGGGCTCGGACACGAAGCAGAGCGAGGGAGAGGCGAGGCCAGGGAGCCCCCGTATCGGTGGCTTTTTGGGAGGCGGAGCGAGCGGTCCGGGGAAAGGAGGAGGAGGACCACGAGGGGGGGGGGGGAGCCGCCTTAATTGTGCCTTTCTGCTGGTAGACGTGGGTCATTCCGTCATGTGGACAGTTAACCTCTCGGGCTGCGTGGGTCCTCCCTTGGTGGGCCCTGCTGGTCGCTCTTGGGCCCCCTATTCCCCTCTCTCCCCTTCCCCTGCCCACCCGAGGAAGTGTAAGGGGGAGGGGGGGGGGGGTCGTCACTTCTCTGCCGCCTGCGAGGACGTGTGTGCGGAGACAAGGGGAATCTTGTGGCGTGCGCGCGCGCGGGGAAGTCCGGCCGCCGCCGTGTTGTGCGAATGACTGTGCTGCGCGCCCCGCTGCGAGGCTACAAACTAAAGCGAAGGAGCGGCGGGCGAGGCCCGGGAGGGGTGCGGATTGGCCGCATGGTTCATTGAATCGGAATTGGGAGCAGCAGTGGTACACCCCACCCCATGGTTCTCCCTTCTTCTTCCTCCTCCTCACTGCTTTTTCTCTCGCTCTCTCCTCTTCGCACTTTCCTTCTCCTCCCCCTCCCCCTCCACTCACGACGAGAGCCTCCTCACCTCCGAACACCTCACTCCCCTCCCGCTTTCTCCGCGCGTCCTCCTGCTTCTTTCTTCAGCCTTCTTTCCTCAATTGACTCTTGGATCGGCAAATGTATGCGGCCGCCCCGCGCGTTCACGCATGTGCCCTGCACGTGCTGCTGCTCCGCCCCGTGTCCTCGCCGGCAACGCTCCCCGCGCAGCTTCGCGCTGCTCCGCGCCTCCCGATTGTCTGCGAAGTTGTGTGAACATGATGGAACGCCTTGCCTCTCGCTCCCGCCAGACGGCCCGGCACGGCCCCGGCCCCTCTCCAAAAGTATTGGGGGAAGTTATATGCTGCTGCGTGTTTTATTTGAGAAGGTTCGCGCCAACTTTGGCCTCTGCCCGCCCGCGTCCCGCGTTGGTTGCCTATACAGGGGTTTGTAGAGTACATTGCCTGTTTTATCTTCCGAGCGGATAACTACTATATGAAAATGATCACGGGGGCTAAATGTTGTCTCCCCCACGCGCCTCCGTGGTTGCGGACGTGCGCACTCCGCAACACTGCAATATCAGGCGTACGAATCTTTATTCAGGAGCTCCAGTGACTAGCGCGCTCCTGTCAGCTGTCAGCCCTGCCGTCCTGCTGGTGCGCTTGGCGGAGCAGTGCGTGTCCACCTCCACTAGTGAACGGGGCGGTCCATTTCCATAACCTCACTGCCGGACCACGTGGGTCTCCGGGCCGGGCTGGCGCAGGCCGAGAAGGCCGCTGTGCCGCTGTGCCCGTGGGCATACCACGGCGGAGGGGCGGCGGGGAGCGTGGCGCGGGGAAGTGCCGCGCCGTGGCGCGCCCTGCCGGCCGCTGCCGCAAGCTGGAGCCATGGCGCGGCCCGCGGCGGGGAGGGGCGGGGCGGGGCGCGGCGGGAGCGAGAGAGACGGAGGGAAGGGGGCGTGCGCGGCCACCCGGCTCGCCCCGGCCGGCAGTTCGCTGTGAGCCGGCTGCGAGGAAGGATCTGTGACGTCGCCGTCTCTGCGCGGAAGCGAGGCGAGCCTTGCGCGAGCCGCTGAGCCTGGCAGTAACCGACTGCGTGTACGCGCTGTGTCCTCTCTCCCTCTCTGTCTGTCTCTCTTTGTCTCTGTCTCCCTGTCGCTCGCGCTGCCCCCCCGAGGACCTCTCTCGCCGGCGGGTCACCCGTCATGCATCCGCAGGGCTGCCTCTGGATGCCGCTTCTCATCCCCGAGGACCCCAGCCGCCGCCTGGGCCTGGACCGGCGTGCGGAGCGTGCGGCCAACGAGTGAACACGAGTGACGTGTGTGTGTGTGACGTGCGTGTGTGTGCCCGCGAGTGCCAGCGCCAGCGCGACAAGTGAGTGCGAGTGCCAGCGCGACAGTGTGTGTAAGGCGCCAGAGTGCCAGCGCGAGTGCCAGTGTCATGGAGTGCGCGCGTGGCATGGTGTTGTGAGTGTGGAATCTTAAAAATAAGAAAGTGATAATCAAATTGGAAAGTCTTTCCCGGTCGAGGAAAGCATACTGAAAGTGATACTCCCACGAAGTGCGTCTCTGTGAACTACCCCCTTTACCAAACCCTTCCTCCAACGACGTCACCATGGATATATTACCGAGCCTCAACATCTTCCGGGAGCTGCAGGACATCCACGACACAGGATACTTCTCGGCGCAGCCGTCCCTGGAGGAGCATTGGCAACAGGTAAAGTGTCATGCAGATCGTTCGACGAGTTGTGTTTGGGTTGTTGGGGGGGGGGGGG